TATAGCGGGGTTCCACTGTGTATATATATATATATATATATATATTTATTTATTTATTTAAATAACCAATAAAAGAAGTAACACAACAATCGTCTTATGAAATACGAAGTCTTTTTAATTAGGAACTAAATGTATCCATTAAGTCAATTTAAAAAAAAAATTTAAAAAATAAACCTTTATAGGAAATTAAAAACAAAAAGGCGAATCCTTTTCTTTCTGTACATGATCATTACAAAAATACGATACGCGAATACCATATAAGCACAGATCTATATCCTTGGCTTAGATGTTGTGGGTGGAGAGGAGGGGGGGGGGGCTCCAATGGCTTGTTCTTGCGCCCATTTAAATGTTTAAATTTCACATATGAAAAAATTTCGTTTCGCTTAAAAAAAAAATAGACAGATTACGAATTCGACCATATAAAATCATAAGACTCCGGATTTTGAGAGTCCGGATTATCCGCAATGCAATCCTCACCACTGCGTACCGAGCTCTAACAGTGCTGTCATTGTGGCTTTACGCTTGAGTGGAGGTGATAAGATCTGCGTAGGACTTTGGAGAAGAGTATTAAAAAAAACCACAACAACTTAGTATAACATACTCTCATAACCACCTTGGTAAACATAACATCCGGTCAATGGCCACCATTGAAACTAATCCTATCGTCGGTCGGACATTTAAAGCAGCTACAACAACAAGAACAACCACACGGTTAAGGGCGCGGTGAGTTAGTGCAGGCCCCCTAATTATCACGACAAAGAGGTTAGGCGCAAGGGGGGGGGGCGGTATTGGAGGGTCAAACTCTATGCACGTGCACCAAAATGGAGCAGGAGACTAAGAAGTCTCCAATATATCAGCACTCTAGGATGATCGGAAACCTAGATAAGAAATATTATTAGTGTTTTTTTTGTGTGTGTGTGGGTGGATAAGTTGTCTTGTGGTTAAATATAATACGGGTTCATAGAAGTTTTAAAAAAAAGTAGGCTACACATTTAAACAATCAAGACACACCATGTTTGTTGTTGTCGAAATGCAACACGAAGTAATACATTAGTGTCTTAATGACATAATCGGATTAAATTCAATTTAATTGAAACAAACGCGCAGGAACTAGACATATAATATTACTTTTTTTTTTTTTTTTCAATGGCATCGAGATCGGAAAAACGGCTCTGAAAAAAACTGCTGTCATCTAGTCAGAATTGCCTTTCTGGCACAAAATCCCACGGAATTGGGGCTGTTGGTTCTTGGGGAAATTGTTAACAGCGTGGAAACTGCGTGAAGCAACTCCTCGCCAACGCTTTGCCAAATCGGCTTAAACTTCAAATTCCACATTTGTCCAATTTAGTAGGACTGAAAACTCAATACTACTTAAAACAACCTACAACAATTTTTTGTTGGAGAATACAACAAGAAGCTGAGTCTTCTTGATCCTATTGGGTTTATGCCGTCATAAATAACCATAATGTTTTCACAAATTTTGCCGATTTATGTTGAAACTGAATATCTCAATAAAACTATATTATTAATCTAATAAGCTCCTGGTGGGCCGGATAGACCCAAGCCGTGGGCCGTATCCGGCCCGCAGGCCGTAGTTTGACGACCTCCGTGCTAAGAAATAGATACAAATTTAATTCAGCAGAGAGGATCTTGGGTGTCTTCCAAAAGTTTGTCTTACAGGACTTGACCTCTGAAATGTACAGCCATGACAAACAAACAAACACCAATAAAGTTAAATCAGGGTGGTACAGTATAGGAGAGTGATTTGAAGAAATATACTTTCCAAAATATTTTATTGACATCTAAAGAATTGTAGCGCAGACATTTTGTACACAAGAAAACAAATCAGCCAGAGTGACTACCCCGCCAGAATTACTCTCTACATCAAGAAGAATGACTCACTGGAGGGTGGGGGGGGGCGTCTTCAAATGGGGCGTCTACAGGGATAGGGTTAGGAGTAGTTTTATGAAAAGGGGTGAAAAGGGGGGGGGAGGGTCATTTCGAAAGTTAAATTCCAAATAACACACCAAATAACACACCAAATTACACACCAAATAACACACCAAACGATAACATAGCCACAAAAATTTCAACTCACACACAAGACAACTTAACTACACACATATCAACTCACACACAACAAGACAACTTACCCACACACATATCATCTCACACACAAGACAACTTACCCACACACACATCAACTCACACACAACAAGACAACTTACCCACACACACATCAACTCACACACCACACGACGACTTACCCACCCACACATCAACTCACACACCACACGACAACTTACCCACACTCACATATCAACTCACACACCACACGACAACCTACCCACCCACATATCAACTCACACTCCACACGACAACTTATCCACACTCACATATCAACTCACACACCACACGACACCGTACAAACCCACACATACACTCACACACCACACGACAACTTACCCACACTCACATATCAACTCACACACCACACGACAACTTACACACTGACATATCAACTCACACACCACACGACAACTTACCCACTCACACATCAACTCACACACCACACGACAACTTACCCACACTCACATATCAAATCACACACGACATGACAACTTACCCACACTCACAGATCAACTCACACACCACACGACAACTTACCCACTGACATATCAACTCACACACCACACGACAACTTACCCACAGACATATCAACTCACACACCACATGACAACTTACCCACACTCACATATCAACACACACATCACACGACAACGTACCAACCCACACATCAACTCACATACCACACGACAACGTACCCACCCACACATCAACTCACACACCACACGACAACGTATCAACCCACACATCAACTCACACACCACACGACAACTTACCCACACCCACATATCAACTCACACACCACACGACAACTTACTTTCACATCCTTATGGTTTTTTAAAATGATTTTAATTGTGTCCTGCTCCATTCAAGACAGGAAGTGACAGCCATTGTAGTTTTAGGCTTGCCAACACCGAGATGAGACTATGTGGATTACGATACGCTGTTACCTGCAGTTTGTCCTAGTAACCAAAGAGTTAGTTACCTCGGTTATCACACGTCCTTCAAGTTTCGGTATCACAGAGTAACCTGTCCTGCAGATATGCCGTTTTTCTTGTTCACACAGTCATTCGAGCTGTGCTTCAGCTAACAAAGTAACGTAGCTTCACGCGGCGACAGACCCAGATTTTTTTTTTTTTTTTTTTAATTTTTTTAATTTTTTTTTTTTTTTATCAGTTTTTTTTTTTTAAGTTTCGTTGCTTCACGCGGCGACAGGCCCAGTTTTTTTTTTTTTTTTTTTAAATTTATAAATATTTATGCTGTTTTACCAGGTCATATTTTTCATACAAAGACATTCTATTTCCACAAATATTCATAATTTATAAGACTATGGATCCTCAAATGCTCCTTTCTTCACATTTGCAAATTATATTTTAAAAAAAAATCTACTTCCAAACTAAAAGATAAAGGGATAAATCTTTACTTTGCTGCTACACTAGCATCTCTTCCTAGAGCATTCATTTCCTCTATCTCTTTTTGTTTCTTAAGTATGGCCATCTTCTCCCTGTGCTTTTCTAATATCTCAGATGCATGCTTCTGAATATCAATTTCTCTTCGAGCCAAATATTTAAATCTGTAAACTCCATAGACAATACCAGTAAACAGAGCGGTCCACCTAGAGAGACTAATTAGCAGAGAAATGTTCTGCTTTGGTTGGGGGGGGGGACTGAATGTTGTAGACAGATTCAGAAAGTAATTGATAGTGTCATTAAAAGAATGAAAGAAAAAAAAACAAACTATAACTACTGATAAATCTAGCATTTTATTGTTTGTGCATACATTTAAACATACTGGTGATAATAATTACTGTTCGTTATGACTAAAAATTTATTTAAGTATAAAACCTCGGTTTATGAAAATTTTTGAGAACCGCTGAAACGGATCCAAAAAAAAAAAAAAAAAAAAAAAAAAAAAAAAAAAAAAAAAAAAAAAAAAAAAATTAAATGAAAAAAAAAAAATAAATAAATTTGACAGTCGTCGCACAATTTCAATAAGCGGTTACACCCCTCCCCCCCCCCCATACATAGACTTCAGTAGTATAATATGTATGTCAGACTTGTTTGGGGGGTTCATTTCACCTGTATGTCACATCGCCAGCACTGATGCAAGGAGCGCGTACCTCCGTCAGACTTTGATTCACCAGGTGACTAGATTCGTCCCTTCCCCAGAACGCGTGCACTCGGATCTGTGCAGGTGAAACTAGGACACGACACAGGTATAGTAGTGTTTAAATAATATATGTAATGGGATTTTAAAGAACTCGCAACAACAACCCTATGTGATGTAATCGTATAGATCAAGCGGTGTCAAACTCAATCGCTCGGCGGGCCAAAACTCAAACCACATGTAAGGTTGCGGGCCGAACAGGATATACATTCAAAAAGCTGAAAATTAATATATGTAAACAAAAAAATTATATAAATGAAAACAGAAAAATGTTTTAATTATTAAAAATCATTGGCATTCCCATTTTCGCTCTTATGTCAATTTGTCAGAGCTGGATGTTTGGCACATTTTCTTGATTACAAAAACAAGTCAGTTCGTGTATGTCGGGAGTAACGTTCTGTGTCAATGAGATTCTCATGATGGACTGCAAGTGTTCAGCAGTGAGACGACTCCTGTGTGATGTTGTGTTAATGTTCATCACAGAAAACAGCTGCTCACACATCTAGGGGCTACCCATCATGCTCACGGTTCGAGCCGCATGTAGACGAAGCTGGGGCATCTCTTCAGGAATGAAACGAGTGAACTGTGCGGGCCCGACTGTGTCGTACTTTGCCTTTAGTGTCCCATTACACTGCAGCTCGATTAGCTCCATGTGCAAAATTTTCAGGTGCAGTTTCCACGCCTCTGGCTTAATGGGTTACGAAACAGCTCGAAAATACATTCCTGTTCTTCAAAGTCACTAAAGCGTCGTGTGAACTCGGCGCGAAGTTTTTCAGCAAAGTGTACATTTGGGAAACACAAAAGCGTTGACTTTGACTGGATATACATATATATACACACACAGTGTTTTACACAATATTTTATATGTGTAATGATTGTGTGTGTGTGTGTGTGTGTGTATGTGTGTGGTATAGAGGACTGGGGATATATAAAAAAGCAAACAATTAAATAAAAAAAAAAAAAAAAAAAAAAAAACAAAAAAATAAAAAAAAAAAAAAAAAAAAAAAAAAAACTTGAGCACGAAGTCCAATGTCTTCGTCAGTTGCTAGATTTGCTCTTATCGGAAGAATTCCTCCCACGTGACCCAATGCTCCTTCCTACTGGGGAAAAAAAAAAAAACAAACAATTAAAAAAAAAAAAAAAAAAAAAAAAACTTGAGCACGAAGTCCAATGTCTTCGTCAGTTGCTAGATTTGCTCTTATCGGAAGAATTCCTCCCACGTGACCCAATGCTCCTTCCGTATGGCCCATCTTATGTTTACTAATTCTCAGTTCACGTGACTGTATGGCATGGGATATTGGACTAAAAAGTTATCAAACGGTATGGCAGCGGTTATCAACGTGTATGTGTGTGTGGGCTTGAGTCTGTGTGTCTGTGTGTGTATGTGTGTGTGTGTGTGTGTGTGTATGTCTGCGTGTGCGTTCCTCGAGGTAGGTTCGGAGATAAATGGCAAGATGTCGACATAAAGAAATTAATCAAGAAACCAATGCATGATAATGTGGACTTCTCATTTACAAAGAATGTTGGTCTGGATTAGAATCCATCAACTAGAATAAAATCAACTAGAATACTATCCATCCAACAGAATATTATCCATATTTAGAATATTATACATCTATTAGAATATTATACATCTATTAGAATATTATGTATCTATTATAATATTATACATCTATTAGAATATTATGTATCTATTATAATATTATACATCTATTAGAATATTATCCATCTATTGAGAATATTATACTTCTATCAGAATATTATACACCCAATAGAGTATAAACCATTTAATAGAATATATTATTATGATCTAATATAATTTATTTAATGTAATCGATTTAACATAATCCACATAATATAATTCATTTAACATAATCCTTCCACTGTAATGTAATCTATCTGCTATACTAAAATCCACCACATTAAAAAAAACAACAACATAATCTAACATTGCATCCCTCCAAGAGTAACATGATATAAATAGTCGAAATTTTCCTGTGATGTAGCTCTTGGTCGACACAATGGTATATGTTATAGACATGTTATATATAACGTCTGTCTGTTAAGAGCAAGATCGCGCTAAGTCATCATGGATGTCAATTTATCAAGAGAGCAGACACGTGTTTTCTCCCCGATACCATTTCCGACTTTGCAATGCAACAGTTCGGGCACTGTACCGTATTTGGAAGGGGATATTTCATATCCTAAGCAGATAGAAAAATCACGAATTTTTTTTTTGTTCGCGCCGTCTCTTGACTCTTGAGGGTGTGTGGTATGGTGTGGTGTGGTGTGTGTGTGGTGTGGTGGTGGTGTGGTGGTGGTGGTGTGGTGTGTGTGTGGGTGTGTGGGTGTCAGCTATCGGGCTGTTTTTACCCGGGCCTTAAGGCCGACAGGGCCTTCAAATTTACACAAACACATAATTATTATTTGCACCTTTCCATGGATTATTGTTGACTCACCTGTTTACGGATTATTGTTGACCCACCTGTTGACGGATTATTGTTGACCCACCTGTTTACGGATTATTGTTGACCCACCTGTTGACGGATTATTGTTGACCCACCTGTTGACGGATTATTGTTGACCCACCTGTTGACGGATTATTGTTGACTCACCTGTTGACGGATTATTGTTGACCCACCTGTTGACGGATTATTGTTGACCCACCTGTTGACGGATTATTGTTGACCCACCTGTTGACGGATTATTGTTGACCCACCTGTTTACGGATTATTGTTGACCCACCTGTTTACGGATTATTGTTGACTCACCTGTTTACGGATTATTGTTGACTCACCTGTTTACGGATTATTGTTGACTCACCTGTTTACGGATTATTGTTGACTCACCTGTTTACGGATTATTGTTGACTCACCTGTTTACGGATTATTGCAAATGTCTAAAACGATGAAAACTTCGATTAAAAAAATCAGAAAAACGCAACATTTTTTGAAGCAATTAAGTTAAATTTTTGAATAGATATTTGTAATGGAGTAAGGTTAAATGTAATGGAGTAAGATTGAACTTGAATGTCATGTAGTGAAGTTAAATGTCCTTTAGTGAGGTTGAATGTCATGTAGTGAGGTTGAATGTCATGTCGTAAGGTTGAATGTCATTTAGTGAGGTTGAATGTCATGTAATGAGGTGCGATGTGGCATTTTAAGGGTATGAGGTGGCATTTAAAAAAAATGGTACGAAGTGGTGTTTCATGGGTTAGTAGGAGGCATTTTAAGCAGTACCAGTGGGCATTTCAGGGGGTAAGTGGTGGCATTTCAGTGGGTAAGTGGTGGCATTTCAGGGGGTAAGAGGTGGCATTTCATGGGTTAAGAGGTGGCATTTCATGGGTTAAGAGGTGGCATTTCAGGGGGTAAGAGGTGGCATTTCAGGGGGTAAGTGGTGGCATTTCAGGGGGTAAGTGGTGGCATTTCAGGGCTTTTATAATAAGATCAGAGCAGCAACTGATGTTTAAGTTAGGCTGTAAATATTCTCGTTTATTTAATCGAATCATTTACATAGTACTTAAAAACTGTAACTAATTAAGTCACACATTTATTTACTTATTTCTAAATATCTATTTTAGTTTTAAAAAGGAAACAAATTATAAGCACCCCTCCCATATATTAAAATGCTTATACATTTTTATGGATTTTGCTAGAGCTAGGCAAACTATTCGTAAGGGGTGCAGGATATATAATAAGGTAGGGATCCCTGCCATACAGAATAGTTAAAAAGTTACCCTTGCTAGAGACGACGCTAACCCCCCCCCCCCCCACTAGAATGCCCTCTCAGAGTGACTTGCTGTTTTCGACGTCCGCCATACAGAATAGTTAAAAACTTACCCCTGCTGGGGACGACGCCAACCCCCCCCCCCCACTAGAATGCCCTCTCAGAGTGACTTGCTGTTTTCGACGTCCGGCTCCTATTTACGTCGACAATGTGCGACGGTCTCTCTTTCATAGACAATGGTTTCGATGACTGTAGACCCACTCCAATAAGCACTCAGAGGACAGCATGTGTCAAGGATGTTAAAAGATTTACGGATTGTTAAGTACTCACTTCTCCAGACTAAGTGTGTCTGAGACATAACACCAGCCACAGATCGGGGGGGGGGGAGGAGAAGGGGGGGCAGAGGGAATGTAAAGTAACATTGAGGAATGGAAAAAAAAATTTTTTCCTAGGGAAAAGACATAATTCTCAAACTTTAAAAAAAACAAACAAAATTAATTAAGAAAATAAGGGCAACCACTTTCTAAAATGAAATCAAAGTTCGTTTTGGTTTTGCAAGCGTGTGTTCGGCTATCTAACGTGTATCTAAACAGCACATTTACACAAGTGCAGATCCCTTGGTCGTAATCTGTGTCACAGGTTCTCCTGCAGATGCTCAGCACGGTTCACTGGCGCCAGGTGCTGATACTGTACCTAGGTTTTCAAGCACGACGATGCTACGGTTGCTGCATCAATTGATGCGGTTTAAACTGGCGCTTACGATAACATTTTAAACATGTCAAAGTGACCTTGTTGTGTGGGAGCAGTTGGAATCTGGAGTTGCCCCACAATACCGATATCGACATTACTGGAGGTTATTATGCCATCGAGTCAGAGCGACCACCCAAGTCAGAGCTACCACCCCGTTCAGAGCGACCATCCAGTCAGAGCTACCATTCAGTCAGAGCTACCTCCCAGTCAGAGCTACCAACCAAGTCAGAGCTACCTCCCAGTCAGAGCTACCAACCAAGTCAGAGCTACCACCCAAGTCAGAGCGACCATCCAGTCAGAGCTACCATTCAGTCAGAGCTACCACCCAGTCAGAGCTACCACCCAAGTCAGATCTACCACCCAGTCAGATCTACCATCCGGTCAGAGCTACCATCCGGTCAGACCTATCACCCAGTCAGAGCTACCATCCAGTCAGAGCTACCATCCAGTCAAAGTAACATTCATGGTAATGTGGGATACGAGACTGCTTACCATCATGAATTAACAGGACCTCTGACCTAACAAAAGCAATGTTAACAAGAATTCTGGACAACTGCTGAATTATTTTGACCAAATGTTGAGCTTTGACCAAGTGTTGAGCTTTGACCAAATGTTGAGTTTTGACCAAATGTTGAGCTTTGACCAAGTGTTGAGCTTTGACCAAATGCTTTGAGTTTTGTTCTCGCATTGTAAGGAATGTAGTTAGAGAGGCGAAAGTGGGAGGACGGATGAAGAGGGCGAGGGTGATGGGGTGTTGGAAAAGGGCGAGTAGTGGTAGGTTAAAGGTGAGGGAGGGGTTAAGAAGAGTGAGAGGGTGGAAGGGGTGGGAAGAGGTAACGTTGTTAAAATGAACCCCACCCCCACTCTTCCGATTGTGGATTACAAACTATCCGACTTTAGAGTATTTTTTTTGGAGTGGGGGGGGGGCGGAAAAGATCGTGGCGTGGGGGAGTGGGTGGGATGAAGTTGACAGGTGCGAGAGTTGAGGGGGGGGGAATAATCCCGTTGAATGCTTCATTGACCTAAATTCCTTTGTAATGCGATCGGAAAAGATCGTGGCGTGGGGGAGTGGGTGGGATGAAGTTGACAGGTGCGAGAGTTGAGGGGGGGGGGAATAATCCCGTTGAATGCTTCATTGACCTAAATTCCTTTGTAATGCGAACAGTTAAGTCAAAACCATTCTTCCAGGTATTTATTGCGTACCCGGATGCGAAAAACGAATGTTTACCATGCGTTCCAGTTTTACTTGGAGCGTCCCTGTTTTTGACGGATGTCCTCTCTTGTCTGACGGGGGGCGCCCCTGTTTTTGACGGATGTCCTGTCTGGTCGGACTGGGGGCGCCCTTGTTTTTGACGGATGTCCTGTCTGGTCGGACTGGGGGCGCCCCTGTTTTTTGACTGATGTCCTCTCTTGTCTTACTGGGAGCGCCCCGATTTTTGACTGATGTCCTCTCTTGTCTGACTGAGGGCGCCCCTGTATTTGACTGATGTCCTCTCTCGTATCCGGAAATTTGACTGAAAGCAATTTCGTCGATGGTAAATTAATCGACGGTAATTTGACTGAACGGAAATTTGGTCGAATCTCTTTTTCAGTTTTTACGTTAAAATTTTGCTTCAAATTTCATTTTGAACGCATTATTTTGTTTTACGATATAGTATAATGTGTTCAAAAGGAAATTTTACCAAAATTTTAAAGTTTAACTGAAAAAAAGTTTCGACCTAATTTCCGTTCGATCAAATTTCCGTCGATCAATTTACCGTCGACGAAATTTCTTTCACTCAAATTTCCGGTAACCGTCCTCTCTGTCTGACTGGGACCGTCCAGTTTTCCCAGCGTTGTCCCGGTGTCGCGGTGTGGTTGCTATTCTGTCACGGTTTCTTAACAACAATTTCTTTGCCCCGACTGTGTTAAATAGACTCGTACACAATTGTTCACATCAAATTGGGGCTTGCTTCACATTCCATGACGGCCCTAACTAGGCTTAAGTTCTAAGTGTTGTCGCTAAATTCCTCGCTTTTCCTTAGGTTGCTCCGTCCGTTTTTTTATTAACCGAAAAGCGGCCCCGGCGGAGTTGGGGTGGGGGGTGGGGGCTGTCCAAAAAGCCAAGTTAAAGACCGACTGAATGTGATTTTCTGATGTCTGCCGAAACCAGCCCAAAGGTTAAGCATGCCTTTTGGCCGAAACCGAAGCAGAAACCAAAAACTTAACGATACTTTCGGCCGAAACCGAAAGATTTAGATATTATGACATTCGTTCACGTATTCATCGGAAAAAAGGATCTGGGAAAGTATCAATATCTACATTTTAAAAATGAAAATTGAGATCATCGTGAATATTAATCAATAAACTTCTAATAAATACTTTGGCGTTTGCCATTTTTATTTAAAACTTAATTTAAATTAGTGAGAAATGTATTTTAAAGTATTATGGTAAAATATAATTTACATGGGGGGGGGGTCAACATTCCTGCAAAAATAGACCCTTGAGCGCCCTTTGCTTTTATAATATAATTACTACGCTACCTAGACTTTTATCTAAAATAATTAGCCTGAAAGTCTCTAATAGAGGCGACTGTCACCTAAATATCTGTGGTTAAAGCGATACAAATATCACTACAATGTTTCGCGGTTAGCTTCATAGTTAATTTGCTTTGTGTTTTCATAAATAGATTGCTAGATAGAGCTGTAGTAATATTTAGCCTAGTACCAACATTCTCGTCTTTCCGTGCTGATGCCTTAATTATTTCGTTCGGCGCCCAACCTCCCCCCCCCCCCCCCCCCCCCCCCATTGGTGGGGAGATAATTATTTTTTAACAGGGTCTCTTAAAATCGTCGTTCTGGCGAGTCTCGGCGGAGATTCGCAAAATGACATCTGAAAATCATAAATCGGTCGCCAAAATCATAAAATAAAACATTTCTAGCCTTACTCCTACTAGATAATTACTATACGAATCCGTGACACATGCACACGTATGTTATTTGTCAATAACAAGGTTTATGAGCATGATAATGATGAATTTCAAGAAATGAATGAATTGAATAAGCCAAAGTTTCCTTAATTTTTAATTTAATAAAAATAAAACAAAAATAATAATGAGAATAGTACCATTCCCTAGGATTATGCAATATTATTTAACTTTGCCTAGAACTACATCGCTGAGCATAATAATGATAAATTAAAATGAATATCACAAATTATGAATGAATTGACAAAATTAAAACAAAAATAATGTTATAAATATTACCATTCCCGAAGATTTTTTTCCACAAAACTATTTGCCTAGGCCATATTGAAATTTTATTTTTGGAAATATTGGACAAGTAGATCATCATGCAGCTGTGGGCAGTTTTCGAAGAGGATTCGTCATATAACATACGATGACAGCAAGATGTCGAGCGATAATGGATATCGGTTTGCTGGCCTAGAGACAGACTTCTGGTAGATGGCGGGAAAACCTCAATCCCTTTCAGTCAGATAGCCAAAAGTATCTTTCACTTTCGGCTGAAACCGAAAATAAACCGAAAGTTAACTTTTCACTTTAGACAGAAACCGAAAACTTCACCGAAAGTGATCAAATGGCAACTTTCGGGGCCGAAACTGAAGCCTAAATTCGGTCGCTTTCTACTTCAAATGATAAGATAGAAGTGAAATGCTAGCATCGCAGTCATTAATTCTTTCAAGATTTTAATAACTTCCCCATTTCTAAGCCGTTCAGAGAATTTGGACAAAGAGAAAATAGAAATTTCTTAGGTTTACACTCAAGTGAGGAATAAGAGAAGTGTGGATAGTGTTTCTCCTCTTGAAAAACCAACCATAACCACGTGACTCTTCAAAACCATGCCGGATAGCTATGGCACAACTTGAACAAATGGAATCTGGGAAGAAATTTTAAAATTTTGTCCACACACAGCTTAAATATAATTTTCGTATAAATATTTTAATTAAATTTCCCGGGTGATCGCCCGTTCGAACCTCCCCCCCCCAACCCTTGGTTACGCCACTGGTGATACCTACTCTGATTGTTCTTTGTGGTAACGCTAAAAATTAGTGTAAACCTAGCTTCAAAGCATATTTTACCCGTAGCGATGCCCCACTGGTAACCCGGAAGGTTTAAAGTTTAAATAATTACATGCACATGACACTATCCTATTTGGACATCCCCGGTACTGGTCGGGTGATTTTGGACAAAAATGAAACACTAAACTTTATTAGACCATGTATCGGATGACCGATGAACAGGGAATCAATACAAGGCGACAGGCAGAATGCACGGGCATTTCTCAGCGTTGCGCTAGAAACCTTTGTTATGTATGCTGTAGGGGCCCTGTATGAAATAGCCCACCTCACAGAGTGTCTACACCCCAGACTCACAGAGTGTCTACACCCCAGCCTCACAGAGTGTCTGCACTCTACACCCTCCCTATCTTTTTGTAGTGGCTCTGTATGCAACCCCCAGCCTGACAGAGTGTCTATACCCCTAGCCTCACAGAGTGTCTGTACCCCAGCCTAACATAGTGTCTACACTCTACTGCCTCCCTATATTTTTGTTGTGGCTCTGTATGCAACCCCCCCCTCCCCGGCCTGAAAGAGTGTCTACATCCCCAGCCTGACAGAGTGTCTACACCCCGAGCCTGACAGAGTGTCTACATCCCGAGCCTGACAGAGTGTCTACACCCCGAGCCTGACAGAGTGTCTACATCCCGAGCCTGACAGAGTGTATACACCCCGAGCCTGACAGAGTGTCTACATCCCGAGCCTGACAGAGTGTCTACACCCCGAGCCTGAAAGAGTGTCTACATCCCGAGCCTGACAGAGTGTATACACCCCGAGCCTGACAGAGTGTCTACATCCCGAGCCTGACAGAGTGTCTACATCCCGAGCCTGACAGAGTGTATACACCCCGAGCCTGACAGAGTGTATACATCCCGAGCCTGACAGAGTGTCTACACCCCGAGCCTGACAGAGTGTATACACCCCGAGCCTGACAGAGTGTCTACATCCCGAGCCTGAAAGAGTGTCTACATCCCCAGACTGACAGAGTGTACACATCCCGAGCCTGACAGAGTGTCTACACCCCGAGCCTGACAGAGTGTCTACATCCCGAGCCGGACAGAATGTATACACCCCGAGCCTGACAGAGTGTATACCCCCTCCCCATTTTTTAACCTTGTCGAAAACCAACATCCAAAGTAAAAAAAAACAACTCACTTTGAATGAAAAAAAAATACAACTTCAAGCTTAGGAGAGAAAAAATAAAGACTTGTCCACCTTAAGATATTTATTTTGTTGGAGGGATTCAACCTCATTTATTATGTTTGTTTACGAACCTGATATTACCAGGTTCAATAACGTCGTTCGTCTAGCGATTACACTTACTCAACAAGCCATTGATACATAGATAAGACATCTCTTTCATCAGATATAATACAACTCATCAAATCCAACAGTTCAGCACTGCCACCGTTCCACACCATTACAACAGTAACAACGTCATTTCCTCTCACGCAATAACGTCACCCAATACAGAGCATATGGCAACATCTGCCCAAAATACTCTCGGAACCAAACACACAAAACAACATACAAGTCCTTAACAATGCTCTCGCCCCTCCCCACCCCGCTGCCATGGCTCAATTTCAGATTGATCCAGACGATCTCCTGACTGTAATTGACGACGAGAAAAATGATGTCTTGGCTTCTGCTGACGTGTCTTCTCGGCTTGACGCTTGCGGTAAACGGTAAGCTGGCGGAGAACCCTGAAGACACGTACTCATCAGTGCTCGTCTTCTGGGCACACATTATAGAAAGAAATAAAGAAACAGCTGCTGTCAGGGGCGTAGATGACTTTTTTTATGGGGGGTGGGGGGGTCGGGAAGGTCCAACATTAGACATCCTTCGAGCTCTAAATAAATCAATAAATTCATCGGATTTGGGTAATTAAAAAAAATAAGTATCTGGACGCCTGGGGTTGGTGGATGGTGTCCAGACCCCCCCCTCTCCCGGGTGGCCGAGCGGTCTAAACTGTCTCAAACCAAAGAATTGGTGGGCTGGAGTTCAATCCCCACCAAAGGCAACATCCCAGCACCCCGGGTGGATGGGACTCGCAAGCCTTGGACGGCAACCCATCTAAGAGAAGGCAAACTCTGAATTTAAACCAGGAGCCAGAATGATCAACAAATTGATCGTGGGCCCCTCAAATATAAGAAGAAGAAGAAGAAGGACCCATCCGGCCAGCCACGCCCCTGGATGCCATTGACAATGAGTGTTTCGTTTGCAGCAGGTATAAACGTTCTTGTTGTCATAAGTTGTCAATTCTTGTTGTCATAAGTTGTCAATTCTTGTTGTCATAAGTTGTCAGTTCTTGTTGGCATAAATTGTCAATTCTTGTTGGCATAAATTGTCAATTCTTGTGGTTCCCCGGATCGGCAACCTTAGGCAGACGTGACACGCGTGTCAGACATGGCACGCGTGTCAGACGTTACACACAGAGAGAGTTTTCACGTGTAAGCTGCAACATGTAATGATGTCGGAGAGTTTTTTTTTTTTTTTAAATTGCGTCTTACAATGTCGAAGTGCTACTTTCAGTTAAGCACAATGTGACCCCACCCCCACCCCCCCCCACCCCCCCACCCAAAAAAAAATTGTTGCCTACCTTGCTCTAGAATTCGGGCCACTGCTATTTCTGCTTGGTGACAATTTGGTTGATTCTCTCCAGGTCAAACGACGTGCGATAACGAGGCTCAGTGTTTAGAGTCGCTCAAAAAGATCCTGGTGGACCGTGATAAGTTTTGGTTCGGATCCAACTATGACAAAAGCTGTCCCAAAGTAAGTGGTCGGTGTTATATTTTTCTATGGTATGAAGCTCTCTACTTAGAAGGGTGACAACAACAAAAATGAAGTCCTTATGCTATGATCTAATAAAAAAATAATAATCGCATATAGTTAAGTAGAGGCCAACTATGAATGACGTCATGCATCTATTTGAGGTGATGGGGGTGTTTTGGGGGTGGGTGGAGCGGTCACCGATTTTTGAGGATGTCTTTAACTTCCGTGACAAATTTGTGAAGAAGGGGGATAACAATGTGGGGGCGTCATGTATGGATGCCGCCCCCCCCCCCTGGTCTTAGTATTATTATTATTATTTACATTTGATAAAACAATACATTTGTCTGTAAATTCTGTCCTGGCAGGGGCCGACAACTTCAGCCTGCTCCAATCCAGACGTCCCACTGACCTCCATTGCCTCCCGCCTGTTTAACAACTCCCAGGAACAGCTGTCCTCCCATCTTAACAATACCAAACTGGCCAGGATTGTTTACAACGCACCCAATGGTAAATGCTTTAATAAAGTAGTTTTAATTTTTTTTAAAAAGTGGATAGTGCAGTGCACCCAATATAAACATTATGCCAAAAAGAATTATGTCACAGTGTTATTTACAGTGTTAATTTTTTAAAAACATATAAATAAAATAACCCGACCATATCACAACTGAACGAAGGAATCTGTCGACACCCCAGCCCCCACCCCCACACCCCCAATGTCGAGCTTGCGTCTACCAAAAAAAAAAAAAAAATTAAGAAAAAAAGCCTATTACAATTTCTATCACCACAAAGGAACGCGTGTTATCTTAAAAAAATCTTTGTTTACAAACGATAGTTTAACCTAAGCGTTTCGCTTTTGTTTCGTGGATGTTCTGCTTCTGTAAATTAAAAAGGCTAAACTTTTTTATTTGCTGCACCAGCCTCCATCTTTGCCTGCGGACATGACTTCCCGGTGCCTGCCGTCACCAGCTACACCGTTAACCCTTTGAACATCACCAGGGTCAGCGCCTGGTCGCTCAATCACAAGCCGGTGGTCACATGGGACCCGCTACCAAACGCGACCCTCTCAACGGTCATCGTCTGGGACGTGGGCTACTACTTCCTGCACGGGCTCTACGTCAACTGTGCCAACGGATCCATGGATACGGGCACGGTGAGGGGGGGGGGCTGATGTTAGATGTATGGGCGGAGTGAAGGGGCTGGTGTTAGATATACAGGCAAGGGAAGGAGGCGGATGTTAGATACACACGCATGTTTGAGGGGGCTGATGTTTGTGTTTACATTCCTCTTATTTTCCTTTCAGATATCCAAACGCGACCCTCTCAACGGGCATCGGCTGGGACGTGGGCTACTACTTCCTGCACGGGCTCTACGGCAACTGTGCCAACGGATCCATGGATACGGGCACGGTGAGGGGGGGGGGGCTGATGTTAGATGTATGGGCGGAGTGAAGGGGCTGGTGTTAGATATACAGGCAAGGGAAGGGGGCGGATGTTAGATACACACGCATGTTTGAGGGGGCTGATGTTTGTGTTTACATTCCTCTTATTTTCCTTTCAGATATAACATTGCAGAGGAAAGGGATGGTGTCAGATATATGGGCAGGGTGCTAGGTCTCAACTGATTTTTCTGCATATTGAACAATGAATTTTAAGCAAAGTCCATGACATTTAAAATGTCTTATTTAGCCAAGTACGCTTATGAAATATACACCTTGTTTAGAATAAATATTCAGAATTAAGTACACATTACTTGTATAGTACACATTAAAAGTACTCGTACTCATGTCTATTCTAGAAGTTAGGAAAGGTATAGTACTCATCGTTTGCAAGAGTACCTGCTACTAGCATCATTACCAAGAGCCGCCGTGTGACTTTTGGAGGCCCGCGGCCACTTTTCTGTTGTTATGCGCCTCACGCATTCAAAGTTAATAGTTTATTTATTTCTGCCCACCACAAATGTGGGTCCCTTATATGCCCTAGGCCCCCCCCCAATGCAGTCGCAGGGGGTTGCAGGGCCCAGGCAATGGCTCTGATAGTACCCATTTCTTTTAAAGTAGCCATGACCTTGAGTTCTATCACATATTGCAATGATATACAACCCCCCTCCGTTTTTCCGGTTACCCAAACCCCCACTAAGACGCCCTCCTGAGTGTGCACGATCTTCAATTACAGGCAGCTGTGAGTTACAGGGGCCCCCTGAACCCTTCTCCCACGCCCAATGTCTACCTGACCACCGTCTTCACTCAGCTGCGTGAGCTCAACGCCACTCAGGTTCAAGAGCTGCTCCAGACTTTCATGAACGGTAACATGAGACGATTTAAACAGGCAGTTTTCTTGGAAACTCTAAACACAGCTACAGGTGACAGTGTCATGACAGGTGAGTGGAGGCTAGCGAACATGGCTACACGTGGCAGTGCGCTAGTGGTATTCTATTGGGGCTGTTGTGACAATGCAATTGACATAGAGCTGTTGTGATAGTGCTGTTGTGATAGTGCTGTTGTGATAGTGCTGTTGTGATAGTGTTCTACGTAAAATGTTGTTCGTGAGCACATTAAAAACTGATGATGTGCCCCAAGTCATGATGTGATCCAGTCCTCATGTGCCCCACGTCATGATATGCCCCACGTCATGATGTGCCCCAAGTCATGATGTGCTCAACGTCATGATGTGCCCCAAGACATGATGTGCTCAACGTCATGATGTGCCCCAATTCATGTCGTGCCCCAATTCATGATGTGATCAACGTCACGATGTGCCCCAAGTCACGATGTGCTCAAAGTTGTGATGTGTCCCACGTCATGATGTGCTCCAAGTCATGATGTGCTCTAAGTCATGAGGTGCTCCACGTCATGCTGTCCCCCAAGCCATGCTTTGCTCCAAGTAATGATGTGCCCAACGTCATAATGTGCCCAAGTCATGATGTGCCCAAGGCATGATGTGCTCCACGTCATGACGTGCCCAAGTCATGATGTGCCAAAGGCATGATGTGCTCCACGTTATGATGTGCCCAAGTCATGACGTGCCCAAGTCATGATGTGCCCAAGTCATGATGTGTCCCACGGCATGATGCAGTTCAAGTTTTGTAGTTGAGACATGCAGCTAGCTCCTATAGAATTCATTCATAATGCTCTTCAAATGTCTGTCTGGAACTAATGCTATTAGGGAGGGAGAGATGCGGAGGGAAGAAAATAGAAATGTTGGGAGAGGGGAGGGAGAGACAGTGAGATAGAGAGGGAGAGAGAGAGAGTGGGGGTGAGGAAGGGAGGAAGAGACAGAAAGAGAGGCAGAGGGCGAGAGAGCCATAAAGAATGAGAAAGGCAGAGAGTGAGAGAGAGCGTGATGAGATAGAGAGAGAGAATGAGAGAGTGAAAGAGAGAGAGAGAGAAAGAGAGAGACAGAATTTGCATTTTAAGACAACGACGTTAGGTTTCTTTAGAAAGCGTCCTTAAACACAATATAATAATCGCTAGCTAGGGAGACCAACAACCTTTGCACTGGAACGCCCGTTCTTAAACACAATACAATAATCGCTAGCAAGGGAAACCAACAACCTATGCACTGGAACGCCCGTTCTTAAACACAAGACAATAATCGCTAGCTAGGGAAACCAACAACCTATGCACTGGAACGCCCGTCCTTAAACACAATACAATAATCGCTAGCTAGGGAAACCAACAACCTATGCACTGGAACGCCCGTCCTTAAACACAATATAATAATCGCTAGCTAGGGAAACCAACAACCTATGCACTGGAACGCCCGTCCTTAAACACAATATAATAATCGCTAGCTAGGGAAACCAACAACCTATGCACTGGAACGCCCGTCCTTAAACACAATATAATAATCGCTAGCTAGGGAAACCAACAACCTATGCACTGGAACGCCCGTTCTTAAACACAATACAATAATCGCTAGCTAGGGAAACCAACAACCTATGCACTGGAACGCCCGTCCTTAAACACAATACAATAATCGCTAGCAAGGGAGACAACCATCGCATTGGAAAGCCTTAGAATTGTCAGAATTCTGCAGTTGCGTCCATTTTTAAAATCTTCACGCATTTTGGTTTTTCCACAACAACCTGTGTTTTTTTTTTTTAAAAGTATGTATAGAATTATGATTTTCGATAAGCCGAAATGGAAATATTCAATCGTGATTTTACTAATGGCAATAGACATAAGTGCTAGTAGTTGCATTAATAAATGTAATAGAAATAGTGATACTAACATATCAAAGTGCCAACACACCATTAAGAGAGTGACACATGAGTACATTAGATCGCTTGTGTTTACAGAGCCGAGCCATATCAACTTGATGACCGTGGTGGCCGACGCCTACTCCGTACAGAAGCAGAAGGAGAGGCTGCTCGTTGACAACTGCCCACTGCTCGCCTCGCAACAGCCAAGTAAGTCCAGTGGCTAAGACACACCAGGCTGCTAGTGCGGCTACTTTTTATAGCTCTAAGCTTTCACTGAAGCGCCATGACGGGGGGAATTTTGTACATTTCAATACAGCTTTCCACCTGCTTAAATCTTGTACATTTCAATTCCCCTTTCCACCTGGTTAAATCTTGTACATTTCAATACCCATTTCCACCTGGTTAAATCTTGTACATTTCAATTCCCCTTTCCACCTGGTTAAATCTTTTACATTTCAATTCCCCTTTCCACCTGGTTAAATCTTGTACATTTCAATACCCATTTCCACCTGGTTAAATCTTGTACATTTCAATTCCCCTTTCCACCTGGTTAAATCTTTTACATTTCAATTCCCCTTTCCACCTGGTTAAATCTTTTACATTTCAATTCCCCTTTCCACCTGGTTAAATCTTGTACATTTCAATACCCCTTTCCACCTGGTTAAATCTTGTACATTTCAATACCCCTTTCCACCTGGTTAAATCTTGTACATTTCAATACCCCTTTCCATCTGCTTAAATCTTGTACATTTCAATACCCCTTTCCACCTGGTTAAATCTTGTACATTTCAATTCCCCTTTCCACCTTGTTAAATATTGTACTTTTTCAATACCCATTTCCACCTTGTTAAATCTTGTACTTTTTCAATACCCATTTCCACCTTGTTAAATCTTGTACTTTTCAATACCCATTTCCACCTTGTTAAATCTTGTACTTTTTCAATACCCATTTCCACCTGTTTAAATCTTGTACATTTCAATACACCTTTCCACCTGCTTAAATCTTGTAAATTTCAATACCCCTTTCCATCTGCTTAAATCTTGTACATTTCAATACTCCTTTCCACCTGCTTAAATCTTGTACATTTCAATACCACTTTCCACCTGTTTAAATCTTGTACATTTCAATACCCCTTTCCACCTTGTTAAATCTTGTAAATTTCAATACCCTTTGCCACCAGTTTAAATCTTGTACAATTCAATGCCCCCTTCCACCTGGTTAAATCTTGTACCTTTCAATACCCTCTTTCTCCTGGTTACATAGTACATTTCCGTACCATTCTCATGATTACACCCAAAAAGTACAGATTAGTTTTCACAGGTCGATCAATTGGTATTGGTGGGCACGGGTGAGGTAAACGTCTCAAAGAGCTTCTATCCCATCCTCCAGCCTTGCACAAGGTCCTCAGAGGCGCCAACATGAGCGTGAGTCTGAGCGACAACATGACGTCATACCCGGACCCGAGCCCACCGTACGTCACCACTCTCTCCGTCGGCATCGACGTCACGTACTCAACGGACGACTACTGGGTCATGTCCTGCTGTCTGAACTACTCCATCACGTAAGTTGAAACCAAACAGGGGCGTAGCTAGGGTGAGTTCCACCAGGGGCGGGCTAACATCCCATCCCCCCCCCCCACTCTTCATCGGGCCGAAAATGCTGCCTCTAAATTTAAAGAATAAAATTGCCTACCCGGTGGACCGCCCCCCTCCACCTCATTTTCTTGGCCCCCTTTTTCCGATCCCATTCTCCGATCCCTTTCTCCGCCCCCTTTCTCCGACCCCCTTCTCTGATCCCTTTCTCCGCCCCATCCTCCGTCCACCTTCTCCGACCCCTTTCTCATCCCCTTCCTTCGTCCACCTTCTCCGCCCCTTTTCTCCGACCCCCTTCTCCGCCCTTTTTCTCCGACCCCCTTCTCCGACCCCCTCTCTCCACCCCTTCCTCCGTCCACCTTCTCCGCTCACTTTCTCCGACCCCCTTCTCCGTCCCCCTCTCTCGACCCCTTCCTCCGTCCACCTTCTCCTCTCACTTTCTCCGGCCCCCTTCTCCGCCCCCCTTTCTCCGCCCCTTCCTCCGTCCACCTTCTCCGACCCCTTTCTCATCCCCTTCCTCCGTCCACCTTCTCCGCCCCCCTTCTCCGACCCCCTTCTCCGACCCCCTTTCTCCATCCCTTCCTCCGTCCACCTTCCTACGCCATTGACACCGAACATAACATAAATCTATCAAATTAATACACGAACCAAGCCGTTTACTTCAAGAACAATTCATTTTTGTTGTTGCTATTTTTAAATGACACCACTAGTGACAGCCCCGACCGAATGGATGGCGGCGGCCATGCGTGAACTTCCCATCTATTACAACTACTTGACAAAACATGCACTCTGAGTAACACACTTTATAAGAGTCCCAATACGTGCGATCGTCTGGAAATTTTATTTTGCGCGCCTATTGAATGCAGCGTTACAGCCCTACATTACTTAGCTAGAAAACTATTACTTCTAATGGTATGCACGCTGTACGCACGCACTGTTTCTCCTCTCCAGCCGTGGCTCGTTCAAAGCGGATCCATTCAGTGACCGCACACAGAGAGCAGGGATGACCAGACTCAAGCCGAATGTCCAGTTGTCTCTAACAGACATGATTCCCGGTAACACGTTTACAGGTAATCTATTTCTTCTAAAAAAAAAAAAATATTCCCGGTAGCACTATTACAAGTAGCCAGTTTCTAACCAACTGATTCATGGTAGCACTTTCACATAGGTAAACAATCTTTGGTGTGTGTGTGGGGGGTGTGTGTGCAAGTTGTATGTGTGGAGAGTGTGTGCAAGTTGTGTGTGTGCAAGTCGTGTGTGTGGGTGTTTGTGTGGGGTGTGTGGTGTGTGTGTGTGTGGGGTGTGTATGGGTGGGGGGTGTGTGTGTGTGGTGTGTGTGGGTGTGTGTGTGTGGGTGTGTGTGTGTGTGGTGTGGGTGGGGTGTGTCTAGGGTGTGTGTGTGTATGGGTGGGGTGTGGATGGGGTGTGGCTGTGTGGATGGGGTGTGGGTGTGTCTGTGTGTATGGGTTTGTGTGGGGCTGTGTAATACGAAACCGATGAGTCTTTATGGCTGCTTAAGTTAGTGATTTCTTGATTTAAGAGCTGGGTGGGCGACGGTTGAGTGCGGGAAAGATCAGGACAATCGACAGCTTAATGGAGTAGTTCCTGCTCTACCTAAATGTTCCAGAACCCGATAAGGTCAACCTAACCACACCGACTCCTCTGTCCATCTGTAATGAATTCATAAGTTATCGCGAGAACCGATTCTGAACTCTCATAGCCACCCATGATTCATGAAAGACCTGTATCCGCCTTTTCAGATCAAGTGTACACCCTGTTCTTCGTGGACGTCGCCCCTGCTGCCGACGCCACTGCCAATGCTACCAACGTCACGGTGATCACTCACTGGCTGGTGGGCAACATCAGAAACGGTGACGTCAGCACGGGGGATGAGATAGCTCAATATTTCGGACCCAATCCATTCTTACCGTATGTAATTTTGGACCCAATACATTCTTACCGTATGTAATTTTGGGCCAATCCATTCTTACCGTGTGTAATTTTGGACCCAATCCATTCTTACAGTATGTAATTTTGGACCCAATCCATTCTTACCGTGTGTAATTTTAGACCCAATCCATTCTTACCGTATGTAATTTTGGACCCAATCCATTCTTACCGTATGTAATTTTGGACCCAATCCATTCTTACCGTGTGTAATTTTGGACCCAATCCATTCTTCCCGTGTGTAATTTTGGACCCAATCCATTCTTCCCGTGTGTAATTTTGGACCCAATCCATTCTTACCGTATGTAATTTTGGACCCAATCCATTCTTACCATGTGTAATTTTGGACCCAATCCATTATTACCTTGTGTAATTTTGGACCCAATCCATTCTTACCTTATGTAATTTTGGACCCAATCCATTCTTACCATGTGTAATTTTGGACCCAATCCATTCTTACCGTATGTAATTTTGGACCCAATCCATTCTTACCATGTGTAATTTTGACCCAATCCATTCTTACCGTATGTAATTTTGGACCCAATCCATTCTTACCGTATGTAATTTTGGACCCAATCCATTCTTACTGTATGTAATTTTGGACCCAATCCATTCTTACCATGTGTAATTTTGGACTCAATCCATTCTTACCGTATGTAATTTTGGACCCAATCCAATCTCACCATATGTAATTATGGACCAAATCCATTCTTACCGTGTGTAATTTTGGACCCAATCCATTCTTCCCGTGTGTAATTTTGGACCAAATCCATTCTTACTGTATGTAATTTTGGACCAAATCCATTCTTACTGTATGTAATTTTGGACCCAATCCATTCTTACCGTATGTAATTTTGGACCAAATCGTTGCTTACTGTATGTAACTTTGGACCACTCCTAAGTTGTTTTGGGACAAAATCAATTCATCGCATAAGCAACATTTACCAAAAATATACATATTTATACATTCCTAGAATTATTCGTGTTGGACCAAATTTGTTCTAAGAATACATGTAATTTTTGGAACAATGCACTTTCATTCAAAGAATTGTGCGATAAAGGACCCGATGAATTCCGAGCGAGTTGAAATTTCAACCCACACCCTTCGTGGGGTATAACGGAATTGGAACCAAATGCAGTCCTATAGCACTGTCGTCAAGCCAGAATTGATAGTAGAAGAAACTGAATAAAAATTCAGACTTCAAAAATTTTTTAATATTATTTATAGTATTAAAAAAAATTTATAATTGATAAACCGGTCGCATACGGTGTTGGTTTAGTTTCTTAGGCTGTTTTTAAAAAAAAATCATTACAGAAACTCGCCAAGGCCATATATGTTCATGCTGTTCAAACAGCCTGTCTCCAAGCTGAACACGTCATACATTGAGTCCATGTGTCCAGGTGGGGTCCAAAGGTGAGCTGTTCTTTTAATCAACGTTTTCTTTAGGTCTGTCCGTTGCAGTTATTGCTCGTCCTGCCCACGCGATGACCATGGCGATAAAGATGACAATGACACTGAAGATGACCATGGGAATGATGATGGGCATGACAATGAAGATGACCATGACAATGAAGATGACCATGGCAATAACGATGACCATGGCAATGAAGATGAACATATCAATGAAGATGACCCTGGCAATGAAAATGACCATGTCAATGAAGATGACCATAAAATGAAGATGACCATGGCAATGAAGATGACCCTGGCAATGAAGATAACCATGTCAATGAAGATGACCATAAAATGAAGATGACCATGACAATGAAGATGACCATGGCAATGAAGATGACCATGGCAATAACGATGACCATGGCAATGAAGATGAACATATCAATGAAGATGACCCTGGCAATGAAAATGACCATGTCAATGAAGATGACCATAAAATGAAGATGACCATGGCAATGAAGATGACCCTGGCAATGAAGATAACCATGTCAATGAAGATGACCATAAAATGAAGATGACCATGACAATGAAGATGACCATGGCAATGAAGATGACCATGACAATGAAAATGACCATGTCAATGAAGATGACCATAAAATGAAGATGACCATGGCAATGAAGATGACCAAGATAATGAAGATGACCATGGCAATGATGATGACATGACAATGAAGATGGCCATGACAATGAAGATGACCATGTCAATGAAGATGACCATGACAATAAGTATGACCATGACAATGAAGATGACCATGGCAATGAAGATCACCATGGCAATGAAGATTACCATGGCAATGAAGATGACCATGGCAATAAAGATGATCAAGGCAATGAAGAAACCAAGATAATTAAGATGAACATGACAAATTTGACTTGAGAAGTAGCCTTGACTTGAGAAGTAGCCTTGACTTGAGAAGTAGCCTTGACTTGAGAAGTAGCCTTGACTTGAGAAGTAGCCTTGACTTGAGAAGTAGCCTTGACTTGAGAAGTAGCCTTGACTTGAGAAGTAGCCTTGACTTGAGAAGTAGCCTTGACTTGAGAAGTAGCCTTGACTTGAGAAGTAGCCTTGACTTGAGAAGTAGCCTTGACCTGAGAAGTAGCCTTGACTTGAGAAGTAGCCTTGACCTGAGAAGTAGCCTTGACTTGAGAAGTAGCCTTGACTTGAGAAGTAGCCTTGACCTGAGAAGTAGCCTTGACTTGAGAAGTAGCCTTGACCTGAGAAGTAGCCTTGACTTGAGAAGTAGTCTTGACCTGAGAAGTAGCCTTGACTTGAGAAGTAGCCTTGACCTGAGAAGTAGCCTTGACTTGAGAAGTAGACTTGACCTGAGAAGTAGCCTTGACTTGAGAAGTAGCCTTGACTTGAGAAGTAGCCTTGACCTGAGAAGTAGCCTTGACTTGAGAAGTAGCCTTGACTTGAGCTGTAATTTGCATAAAGTGAGGGAGAGTTGCCCAATGTTGGTAGCATAAGTGACCTTCTGTACAATTGGAAAAAAAATATTTTTTTAGCTATATTTTTAAAATTATTTTTTTTTACAGGTCTTCAAAACACTTCTAACAGCAACAGCAACGTGACTGTTCTTTAGAGTTGATGTCTGCTTATCTAGTAATAACCAAGAGCTGACATCTGCTTATTTAGTTGTGATCTAGAGTTGACATCTGCTAATTTAGTTGTAATCTAGAGTTGACTTATGTTTATTTAGTTGTAATCTAGAGTTGACGTTCCTGTCATACGTCTTTGAAGTAGAGTAAACTCCCATGTTATATGGCAGTCACTCAGATGATCTCAGAAATTATTTAGGTTTGAAGGTGTCTCAATGTTTCTAGGTGTCGCAATTATCTGTGTCTAATTGTGTCTCGATGTTTCTAGGTGCTGCATTGATCTGTGTCTAATTGTGTCTCACTATTTCCAGGTGTCGCATTAATCTGTGTCTAATTGTGTCTCAATGTTTCCAGGTGTCGCATTGATCTGTGTCTAATTGTGTCTAAATATTTTCAGGTGTCGCATTGATCTCGCCAAGGTGCTGCAGGCGTGGAATCTCGTGGAGCTTTCTGGTGTCACGTGGCTTCTTGCTGAGAACGATGGTTTCGCTAAAATGGTAGGTGGTAGCGGGATGCACTGGATTCAGTGTCGTGGGAGGTGCACTGCATTCAGTGTAGTGGAAGGTGCACTGGATTCAGTGTCGGGGAAGGTGCACTGGATTCAGTGTCGTGGGAGATGCAGAGGATTCAGATTCGTGATAGGAGCACTGGATCTAGTGTCGTGAGAGGTGCACTGCATTCAGTGTAGTGGAAGGTGCACTGGATTCAGTGTCGGGGAAGGTGCACTGGATTCAGTGTCGTGGGAGATGCAGAGGATTCAGATTCGTGATAGGAGCACTGGATCTAGTGTCGTGAGAGGTGCACTGCATTCAGTGTAGTGGAAGGTGCACTGGATTCAGTGTCGGGGAAGGTGCACTGGATTCAGTGTCGTGGGAGATGCAGAGGATTCAGATTCGTGATAGGAGCACTGGATCTAGTGTCGTGAGAGGTGCACTGCATTCAGTGTAGTGGAAGGTGCACTGGATTCAGTGTCGGGGAAGGTGCACTGGATTCAGTGTCGTGGGAAGTGGGGGGTGGCCCACCCAGGGGTGCATTTTTTACACATTATGTTGAAGGGCGGCATTTTTGCCTAACTGAAGTCTTTTTTGTGGAATGGGGTGGGGAAAGGTAGAGGGTTAGGGACGGGTAAAAAAAATTTGTGGAATGCCTCAGGTTAAAGACAGTTTAATGACATTGGAACTGAAATACAGCGCATTACATGTCTTAAAATAAAAAATTTAATTTTCGTAGTGTGACGAAAACATTCATTACATTCATTTATTGTAGATTTATAATAACTTTAATGTGCACACATAAAAACAAATTAAATAAATATTATCCCTCTCGATATGCCCCACCCACACAATCCCCCCCCCCAAAGCAGAAAAAGGGAAAATTAAACAACTTAACTTCAACATTTGTTTTCCAGAGATTTTATACAGAGATAAAGTCACGCACCAAGGAAGAGGTGTGCTCGGACGTCCCGGGTTACGCTGACCCCTGTCCAGTGCCCAAACCTTGCCCTAACAAGGCGGCACACGCGACACTACCGGGCTCATTGCTCGTCGGGGTTGTCGCCATGGTAACGACAGCGAGATCCTTGCTTTGGAGAGAACATTAGCTGCCAGCCGGAAGTGGTTTAGAAGCTAGCGTGTAAATTGATAGTTCATCTCTTTAACCATGCCAGTCCCTGCTCACAGACAACATTGTACTCTGAAAACCCCACCGGTGTTGTAAGCTTGGGTTAACTATCTATCACCCTCTCCCCCCCCCCACGACCCCCTCCCCCATATCTCCCCTTCAACAACATAGTATCATCATTAATTGTTTCGCATTATGTTTATAAAATGAATATTTTTTAAAAAATAAATAACCAAATGATCTGATGCCTTTCTTTTGTTATGTGTATGGTATTCAATATTTAACTGTAGGGATTTTTTTACCGCTTGTACAAAGACGAAGTACTGTGACGTAATCAGTCTGTTGGAGTAGTACAAAGACGAAGTACTGTGGCGTAATCAGTCTGTTGGAGTAGTACAAAGGTGATGTGCTGTGACGTAATCAGTCTGTTGGAGTAGTACAAGAGTGATGTGCTGTGACGTATCAATCTGTTTGAGTAGTACAAAGGTGATGTGCTTTGGCGTAATCAGTCTGTTGAAGTAGTAAAAAGGTGATGTGCTGTGACGTAATCAGTCTGTTGGAGTAGTACAAGAGTGATGTGCTGTGACGTATCAATCTGTTTGAGTAGTACAAAGGTGATGTGCTTTGGCGTCATCAGTCTGTTGAAGTAGTAAAAAGGTGATGTGCTGTGACGTAATCAGTCTGTTGGAGTAGTACAAAGACGATGTGCTTTTACGTAATCAGTCTGTTAGAATAGTAAAAAGGTGATGTGCTGTGACGTATCAATCTGTTTGAGTAGTACAAAGGTGATGTGCTGTGACGTAATCAGTCTGTTGGAGTAGTACAAAGGCGATGTGCTGTGACGTAATCAATCTGTTGGAGTAGTACAAAGGTGATGTGCTGTGACGTATCAATTCGTTGAACTCCTGGTGCAAACAACGAAATAAAACATGGATCTCTCTCCACTGCGATTTTTAAAAACATAAAAATATTTTTAAAAACATAAAAATATTTTTAAAAAAAAACATATTTATAAAAAAATCTTTTAAACATTGAATTTTAGCTCAAGTCCCCTTCAGTTAAAAAACTCACGCTCGACACAGCTAACAAAATATGATTTATAGAACAATTTAAATTTTCACTTATGTTTTATTTAATAAAAAAAAAAAGATCAATGCCCAAGTTACGCCCCTTTATCAATTTAAACTAAATTAGGGTCCACGGCATGAGCCTATGTCAAAAGGGGCTATTTAAGTTATCCCTTGGATCCCTAGGGATCCTAAAAAAAAAATCATTCAGATAAAAGTTCTAAATGAATTTTTAGATGTATCCAATTAAAATCGGTTAGAATTTAGCCAAAAGGTGTCACCTTTTAAAATTTAACCTTTGTGGTACCCCGATGCCAAAAGGATTTAATCTGTAATATTTTGCAGCATTTAGTATTTTAGGTTGTATAATAAACCAAGTTTATCGAATAATTTCTCCCGTTAAAACCGGTTTGGAAACGCCAACACTATAGCGTTTTATTTTTAAAAAAACTTTGGACAGCTTTCTAAAATAATTTTTAAAAAAAGGATTGGACATTATTAGTTTGAAATATACCGATACTTGAAAAAGGAATATGCCAGATATGTTTACCAAGCTTGGCCAGTATAAAACAATTCACGTAAAAGCTTGCATTTTAAACTAAACCTATGACTGTTATTAGGACAATAAGTCATAGAACCTTCTACGTCAATTTTAAAACCTTCCAGGAACTTCAAAACAAATCTTCAAATCTGAGTTACAACTGGTCTTAGGATAATAACGGATACTGCCTTCTCTGTTACTCTTGATATGAAATAAGTAAAACAAAGTAGGGTTAAGCCTAAAAAAAAGGAACTCAACTAATCAACGAACGTGTCGGCAGGACGCCTTCGTCAGCGAACAAAACAACAGAAAAAACAGAATAAAATTCAGATTCAAAAATAGCACTTAGCTTAGAAGTAGTATCCGAGAGGGCAGCGAATGAAGTGTGCTTTTTTCAGGTTGAACCCTACTTTGTTTTACTCATTTCATATTGTGCTAACCTGATTGCAGTCTCTCCCCTTATTACCCTTGTTCCCCTTGAGAAGTTTTTGCTTCCTAGTAGCTTTTGTAGGCTGAAATAAATTGATTGTTTATTATTTTAAAAAAAAAATCAATACAGCACCATTGGCCCTTAAATGCCCGAGGCCCAGGGTTCGCACAACCCACATGACGGCTCTGATCACACCATATGAACTGATGAGTCTATTTCCACCTGACGCTTCTAAAGAAAGCATCTTGGCTAATGAACAAATGACTGCGCGTAGAGAATGATTTCTCCACTGAATTTACGCAAATGGAGAATTTTTAGATTAACATTCCAGCCCAGAGCGGGTAGTGACGTCAACGGAGATGGGCGCGTGGGACGTCGAGGGTTCGCGTCTGATTGGCTGGTGTCATCTTGTCACGTGCCTTATCGTGTTGTCAGTCAGGGTGGCCTTTCGGAGGGTGTCAGTATGGGTTCAGCTATCTAGGGAATATGCTTCATGCCACTTGCTACATGCCACATGCTACATGCGACAAATAGTGGCGTAAGGTTTGGCGATTTATCTTTCCATCAAAGACAGTTATCCTAAAACCAACTCATCGTTCAGACATATCGGTGGCTACGTAAAAGACTTAACTTCTTAGCTAGACTCGTAGAGTTGTTGTTCAGAAGGCTATGTTCATTTGAGAAGAACTTTATATTTAAAGAGGAAAAAAAAATTGAGAAGACCTCTCATTGTTACAGAAGACATTAATCGTATGATTCAGAAGAGCTATGTTTTGTGCCAAGACTTATGTCAGGTTCAGAAGACCTGTATCTAGTTCGAAATATATGCATAAAGTTGAAAAGCACCATGTTTTGTACAGAAGACCTGTGTCTAATTCAGAAGACCTTCGCTTAATTCAGATACACAATGCTTTGTACGGAAGACCTCTGTCTAATTCAGAAGACTTCTGTTTGGTGCAGAAGATATAGATCAGAAAAAACTATTATTTATTGTGTACAGATCATAAATAGCGGAAGAAGAAGAAATGTTTAGGCTTGGAAAAAAAAAAGACAGGACAATTGTCCTATCTCTTTTTTCTTTCTCACCAAAGCATATCCTCTTCCACTGTGTATTCACTTCACACGTCTAGAACGCAGTCCCTTTGTACAGACGACCAAGTCTAATTCAGAAAATCCCTGTTTAGTGAAAAAGACATAAATATAGTTCAGAAGAAGCATGTTTTTATAGGGAAAATCCTTTCTGGAATTGGAAAAAGTCGGTTACATTCCGTTTAATTCAAGAGAACTATACTTTTTTTTTTTTTTTCAGAACGACTATGTTTTGTTCAAAAGACATACCTATAGCTCAGAAGAACAATGTTTTGTGCAGAATACCTGTATTCAGTCGCACGTGACAGCTACTTCAGGCGATCCTGTAACGTCTAATGTCAACAGACCAAAGAACTCAAAAAAAATCCTTCCCCCTCCCCCCCCTTCCCTTTGGTGTCAAGGCCGTCCGTCCGTCAGCCACACCTGATCAAATTTCTCCAACCTCCCCCCCCCCACTCATTCTCTGGCCTACACTCACACATACACACACTCGTCCAAAGACATAAACAGGCTCAAAGCACACACACTTTGCCACACCAGACAACCTGACAACCCACAACAGTACACGCAGGTCCTTACAACAACCGGAGGACGGAAGACGGGACCGTTTCACCTTTGACCTCTCATCAAGCGGAGACGCTGTGAGGTCATTGACCTTCTCACCAGAGTTTAAATATTTGGCTTCTTAAAGGAAAGAAAACCCACAAAACTCTTTGGTTATTGAACTCTACTCCCCCCACCCCACCCACCCCCCC